TTGAAATAATTGGTACTGGTAATGGTGGTATTGTACGACGATGTCGTAATCGACAAACACAAGAAATTCTTGCTGTTAAAATCATATCACTTGATTTTCAAAAAAATGAAAAAAAACAAGAAATTGTTACTGAACTTAATGCATTAAATGCATTACATTCTGATTATATTGTACAATTACATAGTGCTTATTTATATGAAAATTCTGTACATATTTGTACTGAATATATGGATCGTGGTTCACTTGAACAATATATTGGTATACTTGTACCAGAAAATGTTCTTATTTATATAACATTATCAATGATTCAAGGTCTTATTTGTATGTGGAATCAGAAAATAATGCATCGTGATGTTAAACCATCAAATGTTTTAGTTAATAGTTCAGGTTCAATAAAATTATGTGATTTTGGTGTTAGTCGAGTTTTAGAAACAATAGGTCAAAAAGTTGCAACATTTATTGGTACACATAAATATATGGCACCTGAACGAGTTATTTCAGATGATTATAGTATACCATCTGAAATTTGGAGTCTTGGTATGACTATTCTTGAAATGGGTCTTGGTAGATATCCATTTCAAGCAGAAAGTTCTTATCCACCATTAGCTGTACGACCTATTGAACTAGTTCAATGTATTGTTTATGAAACACCACCTATATTACCCACAATTCGTGGTTATTCATCAGAATTTGCTTCATTAATTCAACAATGTCTTTCAAAAAATCCTGCTGATCGACCATTACCAAGGAGTTTCTTTGAAAATCCTCTTTTGATGAAATATAATAATAGTGATATGAATCAAAGTCGAGCAATAATGGCTGATTTTTTCAATCGAACGGCTGTTGCCACTAATGCAACAAGATAAATCATTAACTATTCAATGAGTTGATTATCACAAGACATAAGATAAAAGAAAAATATATATATGTTTTTTTTTTTTTGTGTCAAATCATAACGAACAAAAATGAATAACGAAGAAGAATCACTAGTGAATCAAATGTCACAGCAACGGTCATCAAGGAAAAAAAAGCATAAAATTGATGAACAAAAAAAATGTTATAAAGTAACTAAACGACAAACAATATCAAATACTTAAACTCAATACGGTCTATATTCAATTTCACCTTATCTTACCTGTTGAAAACAAAATGTAAATTATTCTGTATTGAAATTCTTTGTTCAACTTTACCCTTTTTTTTTTCTTTTCTATAATTATTTATTCGAAATTGAAAACAAATGAAATTTCTTATGCATAAAAATCAATTTCATTTGTATATAAGTTTGTTTTACATTCTTGAAATAAAGACATTTTTTTTTCTGTTTATCATGCATATAAGCACATTTTATTTGAAGAAATGAATTTTGTAGCACAAAAAAAAAAAAAAAAAACAAACAAAATACTTATTGAGTCAAATGCCATGAACCAAAAAGAAGATGATTTGAACGTTTTTTAAATAGACGCCAATAAAATTTAAATAAATTTGAATTAAAAAATCCAATTAATAAAAGAAGAATAAAATAGAAAAATAAACAAAGATGATAACGATGTGTAGAAAAAAATGTTCGCCAACGAGATCTTGTTACTTGATTGACTCTTAAATAAAAAACAAAAAGAAATAATAATTCAAAATAAATAAATAATTTACTGTAGTAATTCATTAGATTCCGCATAAATAAGAATATATTTGACTCTTACAAGTTCATTTGATGTAACAACAACATATTTATCGGGTACAGCACCAGCTTGACTATCACTAACAATTCTTCGTTCCTGATTGCTTGATGTTTCATCTAAAATCAAAGATATTTATTATTTATTTTAATAAAATTATTATAAAAAAAATTACTTTCAATTGCACGTTTAACATGATCAGGTTGATCAATAATTTCACATAATAAAAGACAACTAAGTCGTTTACCTAATAAACTATTTGGCCAAACAGTTGCAAATGGTGAATAATGAAGTGATACAGATGGTTCTAAAGAAAAATATGTTCCTGAACCAAATAATGATAGTTTATTCATATGTCCAAGAAAACCAATATGAAGTATTGAATGAAGATTATCTAAACGTGTACCATGATATGCATAAAGTTTTTTATAATGATCATTTTGTGTTAAATCATTAAAACGTTCATTACGAATTTGATTATAATTTATTTCAAAAGCAAAATTTGGTATTGGAACAGATAATTGATGTTTTACAAGTGAAAGTACCTAAAGAAAATTGTTTTTTTTTTTTTGTAAACTATAAAGAATTTCTTTTTCTTATTTTTTAAACATACTGATTCTACAGGTACCATATTTAATTTAAATGTATCACGAGTTAGAAGCCAATTTAATAATTGAACTTGTAAGTCACTTAATTGATCCAATACGGATATGAATACGGTTACAGGTGGTAAACGAAAGACATTACGCTAAAAAGAAAGTTTTTTTTCATTATTAAAAAACATAGGTTCTAATGAACTATGAAGAGAATTCTAGTTAGTAGCTTGTTACTATCGAGGTATTGCATGTTTTAGCATAATACCATGACTTGAACTCGTCGGGTCTGAAACTTTCGGACTTGAAATTTTGCATAGAGACACGCCTTAATGAGAATAGTTCATGTGTTTTTCACGCTACTTTCTTGTTAATATTTGTCTCTGATGGATTCAATCTAATTGTGCTAACTTAGTATAGTAGCAGAAAAGAGCTTCGAAGAATTTCTCGGAAATCTTTGCGACAGTGTCAGATTTTCAACTGTAATAAATTCATGTGAAAAATATTTATTTATTAGAATATAGATAAAATAGAACATGTGTTGATTATTATTCTAAAGTTAAAAGATTTCTCGCCATAACAGATGTTTGCTAAAGGCTTCATTCTTGACATGAAATTATTTTTTATTATTTATTGAAACCTGAGAAAAAATTTAATATTGAATTATATCTAGTACAAATATATATGCATATATATGTAACGTTTGCCAGTAATTTTCATCGATTCTATGATATACTCATATCTGGATTATTAAGTTATATCGAATTTCGAGACTTACGAAGGAACTACCCGAATTGTAATTCGTCGTTTGAGCTTATATTGGACCATGGAGAAGGTTTCGATAAGACTAGAAAAAGCCTAACAGAGTTCATCTCTATAGACCTTTGCTACTGAGTTATGATCGTTTTACTGAATTTTTGTCTATAGATAGATCTAATGACTTTTAAAAGGAATATTTCTTTTCTGAGATATTGAATTTCTAAAAGGTTGTTTGTTACAGACATATTATAAAAATCAAGTTCACTTGAAAATTCAACATTCTAAGAGTTATTAGACCTATCTAGCGATACTATTTCAGGTCGAAATTTGGAAATATAGAATCCCAATTTCACTAAAAATGTTCGATTTTTTTAAAAACAAGCCATGAGCATGAACTCATCTTATAGTAAGGATAGTTCAGTAAAGTCTACAAGTTGTGCTAAGTCTTGTTTGAAAAACAAATCAACATCTGCGAATGTTTTTTGTCCATGATAAGAAAAATTTTGAAATATTATTCTGGTCACGGCTGTGACCGTGACAATTGTCAGTCACGGTAATCACGCATACAGACAGTTATTATATATAAATTACGACATAAATCTTGCAAACAATTTATACATGATTGAATTTAGCATTCTCTGCGATATGAAGATCTCTTATGAAAGTCATTGTATTATAAATTGTACTAGCGAAAAAAAAACTCGATTGGATCAATTCGAGATTTTTACGTTTGAATTCTCGAGCAAAGTAATAATACTTAATATGTAAAATTCTTAAAACTATTATCAAATATGAGAAAAAAAATTATATTGAGAAATGAAATAATACCAGCCCGAGATTTGTACTGCGACCGTGCTTTACTCATACTAACTGCTAAACTAGACTCATTCCTTAAAATTTAGTAACTTTCATTATGCGAAACATAATTTATAAATTCACCTTAAATTTACATATGCGCAAATTTAATTTAACACGGAAACGATAATCCTATAAGTATCTATATATATATAAATACATCCGGCTACATCGTACCTAATTAAATATCCTTTCGTAATATTACCGTTAAGCGTGGGCGCCGAACGAAAAGACTTTAGGCGTGATGCTCATCTCTTCTAACATTTACTACGAATATTTTCTTATTATTTATCGATGAAAGTTCATTAAAGATCATAACAATGGATTTTGTTAGCTCTCTATAACTTACCAATTGATCATCACTAAGTCCAACAAGAAATGATGGACATGGTTTAAATACAGTTTCACGTTTATATGATTCAAATGCTGTTCGTAATAATGTTAATTGTAAATCAAATGCATGTAATTCTGTTGTACTTAATGCATTTAAATGTTCAGATAGTATTTGTTTTTCTTCTTCAATATTTTTTATATTGGACATTTTTCTTTTTTTTTTTTTTTATCTGAAACATATGATCGATAATAAATCGTAGGACAACAATAAGAATGAATCTTTGCTTTTGTTTTTGTCTGTTTCTTAAAGACAAACGAACGTTAAAGTGTATTGTCTGTAAATATAGTAAAAAAAAAAGAGAGAGAAACATGGATTGCTATACAAAAAAAAAAGTGAAATAAACGAAAGAAGCAGAACAAGGATAAGGAAGAGAGAGAGAGAGAGAGAGAGAGTGTGTGTGTGTGCTAATTTTCTTGAGAAGACAAGATAAGTGTCTTATTTTTTTTTTTTTGTTAAATCGTTTTTCGTTACTCTCGAGCACAACAACAAGAAAGTGATACATATACAATATCGAATAATAAATGATGTAGGTTAGACAAAAAAAAAAAGAAAACAAAAAGGATATATACTTTTTCTCTCTTTTAATCAACACACAAATACACGCAAACACAACAACAACAGAATGAGAGAGAAAGTAAGAAAAAAAAACCAAAGGTAAAGCATAAAGAACGAATAAATGTTTAATGAAAAGAAAAAACAAGAACGAAATGTCAACGATTTTTCTGTTTATATATGTTTTGGTTTAATATTATCATCATTCGGACCAGTTGATTTTGAATAATTTGAATATGGTGTTGTATGATGTTGATATAACGGACGATTATTATTCGATTGTGAAGGTATTAATGGTTGTCGATGTTGAAATAATGATTGTGTATTATTAAGATTATTTGTATTACTTGAAAAATTTTTACTTAAACCACTCATTAAACTAGGTACTTGTTGTGTTTGTTGACGATTATTTGTTGTATTCATAGCACCAATTGGCATTGGTTGACGAGTATATTGATTTGGTGGTGGTGGATAGAATGGTGCTTGATTTGATGATGATGTTTGTTGTTGATTTGTATGAAATGATTTTAAATTTTGTGATAATAATGATGGTGGTGGACCTTGTTGTTGTTGATTTGATGATGTTGAAGGATAATTTGTTGGACGTGATAATGATTGTGGAGGTTGAGACATTAATGGATGATCATTACGATCTATTGAACCAGCACGAGCAAACATTTGCGGATGAGCTGGATGAAAACCTTCATTTTGTCCATATAACTATAGAAAAAATAAAAATAACATATATATATATATATATATATGTAGAATTTAAATCATTATTTTTTTTTTACATTATGCGGTGATGGATGTCCAACAGGTGGAGCATTTGAATTTGGTGGTGGTTGATAAAATTGTGGATAAAATCCTCCATGTGCTAATGGATCTTGAGTACCATAAGGTGGTGCTGGAGGTGTTTGTAATTGTTGTTGTGGTGGTGTTCGATAGTATGGTGTACCTTGTGGTCGACCAGACATCATTTGATTATCTAGAAAAAAAAATAAAAATATAAAATTATTTCAAATCTTTCTTTCAAAAACAACAACAACAACAATAACACATACTCATATATGCTTGTGGTGGAGGTTGTGGTTGACTAATCATATGACCACCATGATCAACTAAAAATGGTGATGGATAACTAGTCATTGGTGGTGGTGGCATTGCGTTATTTTGTGGTGGAGCTAAAATATTTATTATATTCGAAATATTTAAATTAACAAAGGAAAAATCTTCTCCAACTGATTAATCACTTTTAAGTCGTGACTATGTATATCATGTAGATTCTAATGAACTATTATATTTTTTAATTCAATGCGGTAGTATCCATCAGAAAAATTCATATTCAAACTTCGATTTGAAATTTTTCTTGAGAAGTTTCGAAATGGATAAGAGAGCTTGTTGACAGGAAATCCAATGGTAGGAGTTTCAAAAACTGACGTAGGATGTGCTTAAAATCAATTACTCAGTTGGAGGAGAAGAAAGTTCTCTCGTGAGTGTAAATTACCAGAAATTGAACCTTGTGATGTATGATGATACATTGAATTTGTATTTGGTACATTTGGTGGTGGTAAGAAGACATTTGTATTTCGATATGGAAAATTTTGTGGTGGATACTAAAAAAAAAGAATTATAATAAATGTTTGATAATATAAAATTATTTTAAATCTATATCTGTGTTAGTTAAATAGTGTATTCATTTCTATACATAAATAGAAAGTAATAAAGCAAAGATATGGCATATGGATAAATATATACAAGAATTCAAAATGTTTTTTTTAACATTTTGAATTTACACTTCATAGAGAAAGATATATATATATATACATATATATATACATATAGTTTACAACGATAAAGCAAGGATACAGTGACAAACTTACGATTTGTGAAGATTGAACACTCGAAAAATCTGAATTTATCGGATCCGTACTGGTAGTATTTGTAGTTGATGAATAAATCTATATATATAAATATGCGATGGAAGGGAATGGGATTTTTATTTTTGTTTAATTTAAATCTCAACTCATCGAATAAAAAACAAAAGAAATTTCGTTTTCAGAAATAAAATATTACTCGATTAAATTGTTGTTGCTGTTGTGGTGGTGGTTGTTGTTGTGGAATTGGTGGTGGTGGTGGAGCTGGTAAAAGATTTTCATAGAATTGATATGAATGTTGTTGATGTAATGGATTAACTTGAGATTGTGGAAGTATATGTTGTTGTTGTTGTTGTAATGATGTTTGAGATATTGGTGGTACTAATGGAGGAGCTGCAAATGTTTGATAACTTGTTACATCAACTTGATCTTGAATATTAGGTGCAACTTGTTGAGTTGGTTTTACCTAAAGATAAATTTCATTTTATTTATAGATTATCAATAAATAAAGTGGTGGGAAAAAGCTTAGAAACAATGATTTTTTTCATAATGTTAAGCACGTAGCTCCAATTCAAATAGTGATTTTAATAATCAATGGAGTTTTCTATCCAATAAACTTTATAGCAAGATTTTACAGATGAACAATGAGGGCAAGAATCCTTAAAAATTGAATATGGTATTTTTCAGGTTCTAGAAGGCTTTGCCAGAACTATTTTTAAACGATGCCATCTTAAAGAGCACAAAATTTTGAGAAAAATGAGGGATCGTCGAGTTTTCTACGACCTTCTCATAAAAAGTTACAAGCATCACAAAACTCATGAAAAAGGCGTTTTTAGTCGATGTTTAAAAAAATTTCGTTTTTTCATGATTTTTGTGATGCTTGTAACTTTTTATGAGAAGGTCTTAGAAAACTCGGCGATCCCTCATTTTGCTCAGAATTTTGTGTTCTTCAAGATGGCACCGTTTAAAATAGCTCTGGCGAAGTCTTCTAGAACTTGAAAAATACCATATTCAGTTTTTAAGGATCCTTGCCATCATTGTTCTTCTGTGAAATCTTGCCATATAGTGTATTGGATAGAAAACTTCATTGGTTATTAAAACCACTATTTGAATTGGAGCTACGTGCTTAACATTATGAAAAAAAAAACAAGAAAATCGTTGTTTCTAAACTTTTCCCCATCACTTTAGTTTACTGTGATGTCTGTTGACTAGGAAATTGTGGATCTATGTTTTTCTGGATCTGCAGTAGAACCCATCGAGTTGATACTCTACCCAGTCAGGTCCGAGTTCGCGTCGGAAAATTTTCGATCCGCCGACGAGCTCTAGTCGTCTAAGGAATGTGTACGATGCGCTAGTCACTGAATACAAAAAAAGCCATCTCCTATTTTCAGGGCGATTATTCAATGTCGATTTGAAAATTTTAGACCGGACGAGTTCTACCCCACAGCTTTTCAACTGTTGAATGCTTAACTATATAGAGAGAATTAAATACTTACAGTACAAATATTTTTTTGTTCATTTTTACTTGTAACAGTACTAGTCGAATATGTTGATGGTGGTTGATTAATTGTTGATGATGATCCTGTTGATTGTAAATTACCTGTTGATGTTGTAATTTTATTATTTGTATCATCATTTGCTGTTGATGAAACATTTGTATTTGGAGCTGTTATATTTGTTGATGATGTTGATTTTGATTCTTGTACATAATTATCAGTTTTCGTCGAATTTGTATTTGAAATATTATTATCTGATTGTTTTTGTTTTTGTTTCATTGCAACCATTGTATTTATTGTTTGTTCAAGTTGTACACTAAAAAACAAAACAATTCTATTAGGAAATAATGATAAAATGTTTTTTTACTATACCTTGGATGTTCGGATGCATCCCAGATAGTTTTAAGAGAATTTATTTTTTGATTATAATCATCACCAACTGTACCAATAGATTGTTTATCATCATAATCCAAAAATGTACTCTGAAATAGATATTAACATTATTTTTTGGTTTATAAAAAAAAAAAAAAAAAAACAATAGATCGAATTACTTTTTCAAATAATTGATTTGAACCTAATGATGATATTGCATCAGTCTTTTCATAAGTAGTAGATTTTGTCTAAAAATTAAAAAAGGAAAAATTTTTCTACAATAAATAATAAATACAATTTGAATAAATTACTTTATTATCTCTAGTAGATTTATTATCTGTTATAGGTGGTTTAATTGTTCGTGCTATAGTTTCATTAGCTTTCGATACTGTTGAATGAGTAGTAAGCTGTTTAATAAAACAAAAATATAATATTAAATAAGAAATATATATATATATAATCTTACATCAGTTGCTGTACGTTGATGAAGTGGTAATGATGGATCATTGGACGATGAAGATGGAACTAATTCATTTCCGAATTTTCGATCATGAGTAGCTAACAAAAACAAAAAGAGAATTCAGATTTATGAACATGAATTTTTTTAGGATTTTGAGAAAAGCATTATTGTTACAGAAATACTGCAAACTGCGGAATCTTATAGATTCGATGATGGTCGACTCCGGATTCCTAAAAATGTAGACCTACCTTCTCATTAAAGATTCTCTCATCTTATTTGACTACTTCTAATTCTCGAAGGCGATACAACCGATCAGGTTGAAATTTTTACTGCAGATACTTGGAGGTATTTCCCAGAGGTAGAATCAGTCGGTTTCATTTTTGACCTTCGTATTCCGATTTCTAGAGATCGTAATGCAGTTCTAACTCTTAAAGGGCTATTCCTGTGCGAAATTCGGAAATCAGTCGTCTTGATATTCCTAACGAACATCATCCAAAAAAATATAGGATCCTTGCAAACAATAAGCTAAATTCCTATTGTCAATTTGTGTTGATCTTTCGCATAAAGATAATCTCATTAATTAATTTAATAAATCAAACTTACGTTTTTCAATTAATTTACTTGAATTTGAAATTGTATTATCTGTATGTGGATCCCACATTTGAATATTTGACATAACATTTGATGATGATGATGTTGAATGATTTTTTTCTGATATATTTGATTCATTTTTTTGTCTTTCATTTAAATGTTGTTCATCTGTTGTATGTATATCATGATTATTTTGTTGTATACGTTGTTTACGACGTGTTGATGTTTGTTGTCGATGTGATTGATTATAATTACCATAATTATAATATGAATTATCATGATCATAATATTGATTTTGATCATAATATTGATTTTGATCATGATAATAATAATTTTGATCATAATAATACATTGAAGAATTTTGATGATCATTTTTAATATTATGTTGACGTATTGTTGAATTTGATGTTTTACTATTAAAACGTGGTGGAATAGATTTACCATTACGAGTACGTGTTGTATTTGTTTGATTAGTTTCATTTGAAATTTTCTTTTTAAAATAAAAGAAAGAAATAAGTTTTTTTTTTTTTTTTAAATTTGTTTTTACTTCATTTGTTTGTTGTTCATCATTTGTAGTTGATGTTGATTTTATTGTTTGATCATTTATTATATTAGTAGTAGTATTATTTGTTGATTCAATAGCATTTTGTTTAGATAATTGAGCTGCTTTTTGTTCTTTACGACCACGTTTTGACATAACAACACAAAATTCTTCACCACCATCATCAAATGTTGAACTTTCTTCTTCTAATGCACTTGCTGGTAATGTTTCAATTTTAACAACACCTATTATTTTAAAAAAAAAGAGAAAAAGATCAATTACAAGTAATATAAATTTTCATCTAGTAGATTTACCAGCAACATTATTTAAATCATAGCCTTCAAGAGAATGACGATGTTGATCTTTTTTAATTGTTGATGTTTGTTTTGTAGTTGCACTAAAACGAAAAAAAAAAAGTATTTTTTCTTTAAAAAATCTAACTGACATTTCTCCATCAGTTTTTTGTTGTGTATTTTGTTTTAGATTTGTTGATAAACGATTTGTACGATGAACAATAGTACGACTTGTTTTACTACCACGTTCATGTATATTATATGGACGTCGATAAATACTACTTTCATTATAACGAGAATTCAATGGTCTAAATATATATCGAAAAACATATGAGAAAGAACTTATTCGGTGAAATCACATTTGAAAACTCATTTTAAGATTTTATGAAACATGATCTACAAGAAGTGTTGAAGTATAGGGATGAAAATTTGAACCTCTCCAATAGACTGTGACAAACGATAGTCATAGACTGTATATCAATAACGTCTGGTTATAATATATGAAGTAGTTCAGTTTTGCTAGGGTAAACCTTAACAAACTGAACAAGTGTACGATTTGATCATTTATTAATACCTTAAAACTTCTATTCAATATTAAAAAGCAAAATTACCTTTGACTGGAAAAACTTTTCTTTGGTGGTGTTCGATCACGATCTGTTGATTTTGTTTCATTTGTTGTTGATTTAATTGATTGTTGTTGATTAGTATCAGTATGAGTCGAACGCATATTAGCACTTGATTCTGATGCTGTTTCCCATTCTTCACCTTCTTTTTGTTCATTATCACTTGCTGATTGTGGACGAAGATTTGTATTATTATTATTATTATTATTATTTCCTTTTGTTGTTTGTTGTTTATGTTGTTGACGATCAACTGTTGTTGTTGATGAACCTGTACGTTTTGTAGTTTTATTTGTTGAATGTGTTGGATGTTGTTGATAATGTTCATTTAAATAATTATATCGACTATTATAACGTCTATTGAAAAGAAAAAACAAAAGTAAAATAAATATGAATTGAATTTAATACATACTGTTGAGGATGTTCATAATAATAACCACCGGATAAATCATGCATACGTGTATTACGACCACCTCGTGTTGTACGACGATTAGTGCCATAATAATTATGAGCGTTCATTTGCACGGCGTCATAATCTAAATATATACATATATATTCAACGAATAAAAGTCAAAGATCATATGATTATCTTCTAAACTATGCATACAAATAGTCAGCAATCGATTTGTCTACAATTTTTCCTAGATTTGCTTTTCGGAAGATATCGAGATGATTTTAAAACAATGTTTCGGAAAAAAAAACGAAGTAATATTTTACTAGTAAACTAGAAGAATTAGCTATGAAAAATCGAAACTCGAATAGAATGCAATGACAAAATTTAATCTAGGGAATATTTGATATATCAATGAAAATCTTTTTAACTTTTTCGTTTATAAGTAAGACTCATTAATCAATACAAAATATCTTTTCTGTAATAAGAAGCTTTTTTTAATTTATGTTCACCTTGCATTGAACGTCCGTAAGTATTTCTATGATGAGATACTTGTTGATTTTGATAACGTTGATCTTGATGATAATTTTGTTGATCTTTATTTGTTTTTCGTTGTAAATTAGTTGTCGTTGTTGTTGTTGTTGTCGGTTTTTTATTTGTTATTGTTGATTCAGTATCTGTTTGTCCAACAAGATTATTTGATTCATTTTCATTTTTTTGTTCAGATGTTATATTTATTATTGATTCTTTTGGTTTTTCAACTTCAATTGAATTTGAAGATGTTTCAATAGGTTGGTTCGTTTTTGATATTTCTTCTATAGGTGTTGAGTTTTGTTCTGTTGTCCATGCTGATGGTTTTTTTATAACTTCATCAGTTACAATTTTTGATGGTTCTACTATATTTTTTGTTTGTTGTTCAGATGATTCATTTGATTTTTTATTATTTGTCACTGTTGTTGTTGTTGTACGATTTGTTAGAGGTTTTTTAGTTTTTGAACCTGTACTTGTATTAAGTTGTGATGATAAACCTGATGTATTATTCATATTATATGTATTATATTGTTGTTGATGACGAAGTGTTCCACCACGACGATAACGTCCATATGAACCTAATGCAATATAACCACGATGATGTATATTTGAATGATAACCCATTGTATGTTGATGACGTTGATGAGTTTGAATATTTGGATCATAATAACCTGTTTCATCATCATAATATTCATCATCATTACCCCATGTTGAATCATTTGTTTCATTATAAAAATCATTACGTTGAGAATAATGTGATGAACTATTATAATCTTGTCGTTGTAATTGATTTGATGTTTTATATTGTTTTGATGTTGTTGTTGTTGTTGATGTTGGTGGTACATCAGATCTTACACTCATTAAGGGTGGAATTGATGCTGTATTTATTGGTGTATAACGTTGCTTACGTTCAAGTGGTGCTGATTGACGACGATCATTTATATTTGTTTGTGGTTTATATGATGTAGATTCTTGTGGTGTTGGATCATTTGAATCTAATGGTCGTGCTGGAGATAATGGACGCCATGCTGGTTGAGTTTTATTTGTTACTGTTTTAGTTTCAGATTTAGTTGATGTTGGTATATCTGATGAACGAGATACTATTGAAATAAAGAAGAAAAAAAAAACAATATGGAAAAAAATAATTTTTCGGAATGATTTTGTTTTTACCGTTTGAACGTGCTTTTGATGTTTGTTTAGTTCGATTAAAATCATTCGTTTGTTCATTATGACGATTTGATTTTTGTGATAAATCATCCGATAGATTTTGTTGATGATAACCACGACGTCGATCATTTGTATATGATTGTTGATAACGATTATTTGTATCTTCCCAATTACCCCATTGATCATTAGATTTAATTTGTTGTTCATTATTATTATTATCAAAATAATCAATACTATTTGTTGTTTTTATTTTTGTACGATTATTATTTAATGATGTTTTCATTTGATTTATATTTGATTTTAATTGTTTACGATTTGTTAAAAGAAAATGTTTTGATCGATTTATTGTTGTTCCATTATCAGTTTGAGATTGTGTACTTGATTCACTTTGTGATCTACTATATTTATGTGATGTTGATGAACCACTTGCAATTACAACTGTTGTATCATCATGATGATCATCAGTATCGACTTGTCCACCGGATCTGAAAACGCAAAATATCGAAGTTTTAGTTCGTGTAGAGAGAGAGAGAGAGCTGTGAGTGCACATTTTTATGGATTCGAACCGTTTTAACTAGTTCACCGAAAATTTTTACTCGTCAGGTCTGATGGATTGATTGAATTGTAAAATCTTAGACTGCTGTAAATTAACTGAATCTTATGCTATATTAGATTTTATCCTATTGATATAAAAATCGTATTTATAATGTCAAATCAAAATATGACTCATTTGAAAATGAAAAAAAGTATAGAAACAACGATTTTTTTGTTTTTTTTTCATAATGTTAAGCATGTAGCTCCAATTCAAATAGTGATTTTAATAACCAATGGAGTTTTCTATCCAATACACTTTATAGTAAGATTTCACAGATGAACAATGAGGGCAAAGTTCCTAAAAAACCGAACACGGTATTTTTTAGATTCTAGAAGACTTTGTCTGAGCTATTTTTAAACGATGTCATCTTAAAGAACACAAAATTTTGAGCAAAATGAGGGATCGCTGAGTTTTCTACGACCTTCTCATAAAAAGTTATTAGCATCACAAAAATCATGAAAAAACGAAATTTTTTTAAAAATCGACTAAAAACGCCTTTTTCATGAGAAGGTCGTAGAAAACTCGGCGACCCCTCATTTTGCTCAGAATTTTGTGCTTTTTAAGATGGCATCATTTAAAAATAGTACTGGGAAAGCCTTCTAGAATCTGAAAAATATCGACTCCATTGGTTATAAAAATCACTATTTGGATTGGAGCTACGTGCTTAACATTATGAAAAAAACTAAAAAAATCATTGTTTCTAAATTCTTTTCATCACTTGACTAGTCCTAGAGCAAATCGAATGAGAATAATTTACTTTTCATGTAATGATGCATAATTAAAAGAATCCATTTGATCAGACCAACTTTTCATTGCAAATGTTTGACTATCTGCTGTATCATGACGAGGCCGAGATGTTGATGTTGTACTAGTATTTGATTGTTGTCCCCATAATGATGTTGAATCAATTTGTGGTGATGATGATGATGATGTTGTTAAATTATCTTGACCAGTTGATGTTATTAATGGACGTGTTTGATAACCAGGTATTTGTTTTTGATCATCAAATGATTTTTGAACAGTTGTTGATCGTTGTGATAATGTATCACGAAGATTACGTTCTTGTTCATCACGTCGTTGTTTAGCAACAGTTAATGTATTAATTAATTCAGAATTTTTATCATCTTGCATTTGTTTAACATGCTCATCATCTTGTAATAAACGTGAACGTTTTGTTTGTTGTTGAGAATAATTTGTATTTAATGTACGATTATTATTATTATTTTGTAATACTTGAGGATATGTTTGTTTTGATTGTTGTTGTTGTTGTGAATTATTAAATCGACGAGGTTTATTGGTATTATTATCCGTTATATCATTATCTTCATCATCACTAAAACGAATTTTTTCTTCATAATTCACTTCCTGAGATGCACTTGCCCATGTAACATTATCGGTTAATTTTGATAAATCATCAATATCTTTATTTCGTAATATTGTTGGAGTTTTATAATCAGTTGATGTATTAAGACGTTGTTGAGATTGTGATTGAGCATTATTACCATATTGTGATATACGTTGCTGTTGTTGATGTAATTGATGCATGGACATTGGTGCCGGTACTTGATTTGTTCCATATGGACCATAAGAATTACCCAAATTATATGACCACTATAAAAAGAAAAAAATAATAATTTCGAATTATATTATGAGATCAACATGATTTCGATTCTGACGGAACTAAAAATATTCTACGAATGTACTATCAAAAGAAGAATTTTTACCATTTGTTGTGGTGGTTGTTGCTGTTGTTGTTGATACATTCGCATGTATGATGAATTATTAGGATTTTGTATTTGTGATTGAAGTAAACTAGTATTTGCATTCGTTGGTAATATTTGTGATTGCATAGATAATGTTGATAAATTATTATTATTATCATTTGATTCTTTAATTAAATCATTTGACATTGGTTGAGCACGGCCACCACCTTCTTTCCATGATGCTAAATTAGCTGGTCGAAAACTTGGTCCTTGTGTTGTTGACATTGAATTAATTAATGAATCCGATTGTGATTTAATATTTTTATTATCTTGTGTAACTAAACGTGGAAAATCATTTAAACCAAGTAAATTTGGTGGTTGATCATTGGAATTTCCTGTTGTATTACCAGCTGTTATTGTACTCCATGTTGTTGATCCACGAGGTTTATCAATATCCGTTGAAAGTGTAGATGATGATGATGATGGTATTTGTGGTGGTGGTGTAGAAACATGTGCAGGTAATGAATCAAGTTGTTGTTGTGTTGGCTGTTTTGATGGTGTTAATGGACGTGTTTGATTATTAACGAGATTTGTTGGTGTTTGATTTCCACTAGCTGTCCATCCATGACTAGTGCCAGTTGGTATTGTTGGATCAAATAATGGTACATTTGTACCTGTTTCACTTTTTAAACTTGGTAAATTAGCCGGTGGTGGTATGCGTCGACTATTGATTTTTCCGAGATTAGCCCATCCTTGAGTACGAGCTTTAGAAGACAAAAAGAAAAACAAAGAAATAGTTTCTTTTTCCTTTATTTTGAAAATTTAACATACCAGCTGCTCGACTCGTTTCGTTCGTTCGTGCTTTGTTTACAAAATCGTTTGCTTTAACACCAGCATATCGTTTATTTTTATCGATAGATTTACTCGGAACAGACATGATGATAGACTAACGAATGATAATGACGTAGCGATCATGCGAAAAAGAAAAGAAGAATAATGCTATGTGACTAATCGTACACCAAGACGACTAAGTAAAATATGATTAATTAACAGTAAAATAAAAAAAAAGAGAGAGAGAGAAAAAACAAACGAAAAGAATATTTTGTTTACGATATCTATGAATTCGTTTATCGAATGACAATAAAGGACAGAGAGAAATCTAAAAAAATCTATAAAGAAAACAAAAAAATATTTATATTACGTAAATTCTATAATAGTAATCGTTATAAAGAACGAAGAAAAAAATTTCGTAATTACTAAAATTAATATTCAAGATTATTCCATATTTTTCTTCATCATTTTCCTACTTCAATAGAAACATGGCAAGATGAATGAATGATAAGTGAAGGTCTACAAACAGGAAACAATGGCGGTACACAAATGCACAGATGTGCAAAAGCGACACCTATAGGAAATAAGTAAAAAAAAAATGTATATCGATTGGAGATTTTTTATTTATTGTTATTATAAAATTATGAAAATCAATTAATAGATGAGAAGTAAAAATTTAATTTGAAAGTAATTAAAATATTGGTTGCTAAGCAATATGATCACGAGTAATAAAAGACGAATAATTCGAGATTTTCTTAAAACCAGTGAGATATCCACATAGGCAGCAAAACGATTTCAGATTTTAAAAAAAACAATAAAAAGCAGTCTAAGAAGAAGTAAAACTTTTGAACATCAAATTCTTTTTTTTCCGATTCTTGGAAATACAATTAGAATAGATACTATTCAAATCAAGTTAATCGAATTTTTCTTTATGGCTAAGAGGAATAATAATATGATTTAAGCATTATTGAGTCATTTACACAGCACAAATATGTTTTTATTCGATTCATTACATAAATTTTGCTTTGTTTAGTCGACATTGGTATACGTACAAAGATTAATTTTACTCAAATGTGTAAAATTCAAAAGTTATTTTAAACGGAAGTTTAGAACAACAATTAAACTATCTGATATATTAACTGTATCTCTTGCAGTGACGAAGTTATAGTGATTCTCCTAAAGATAATAAACGGACTATAAATAAGCCGGACGTTCGCTCTGATTCGACATATCAAGCTGAAATTTTTTATTAAAAGCATTTCTCACTAGGATCACTCATTCTGAGAACCCCTTAAGAACGAAGAATTTGTCATAGACACAAATGCCAGCGAAATCCAATCAACCCAGGTCGAAAAAGCACGATCGTATACGATGGACGTACACAATGCCATACGTTCAAATACGATCAACATATACGTTGCAAATAAACGACTGTCGTGCACGATTGTAGTATACGACCGTATATAGTCGTAACTTAGTCGTAAGTTCCCACGTCGAGAAATCAAATAGTAAGATCGGTCATGAATTTTTGTATGATTCTATCAGATCTTACTGAAATATTGTATATGATCATATGAGATCATACGGAAAATCATACGAAAAATTACTGTCTCAGAAATCTGATGTCAAATCTTACATCAAGTTTCTTATATGCTCCGGCAATAAAATTTTGTATGATTCTTTGAAATCGTCAGGTAAGATTATAAGTGATTTCTGTAACAATATGCTTTATTCGTTACACCCTCCCTGCATCTAACTATTCTAATTCAAGTTAACTTCACATAAGCAAGAACAATCTAATTAATAAACGTAATACAGACGTACCGACAAAGGAAATTATTATTAAATAATAAAATCCATAATCAATTAGTCACAAAAAGTCTGGCATAAAGAAATTTCCTCTCTATACTATTAATAAAGAAAACTAAGAAATAAAATTAAGATTTTCTATATAATTACTATTAAAAAATTTAAAAAAATAAGAAGGAGATTTTCTATACTGAGAGTATAAAAATAGAAAGAAAGAGATGAAAATTTATATTTTCTATATTATTACAATAAAAAAATAAGAAACAAAACTAAGGGTAATCTATATTATCAATATAGAAAAAGGAATTACATATGGGATTTTATATATTACTAATATAGAAGAATTAAATATTAAAATTAAGATTTTCTATAAAATTAATATTCAAAAATAAGAAAAAAAGTTTAGGATTTTATATATTATTAATATAGAAAAATACAAAATCAAAATTGATATTTTCTATATTACCAGCATCGAAAATGAAAAATTAAACTTAAGATTTTCTATAATATTAACATAGAAAGGTAAGGAATAAAATCAACCATTTTCTATACTATTGTTATAGAAAAATAAAAAGCAAAAGTACTGTTTTCTATATTGGTTTTTTTCCATATCAATAATATAGAAAATCAGATTGTTAATTTATTTTTTTATATATTGATGATATAGATAGCAGTTTGCTTTATTTCTAATTTTTGCATATGGGTTATACAGAAAATATTATTTTTCATTTTTCTGTATTGATGATATAAATAAATTTTAGCTTTTATTTTTTAGGTTAAATAAATTTATCTTTTATTTTTTAGATTAAATAAAGTTTGTTTGTTATTTTTAGATTAAATAAATTTTATTTTTTATTTTTAGGTGACATGAATTTTAGTTTTTATTTTTTAGATGAAATAAATTTATTTTTTATACTTTAGATTAAATGAAGTTTATTTTCTATTTATAGATTACACAAATTTTATTTTTTATTTTTTAGGTGAAATAAATTAATACTTTATTTTTTAGATTAAATGAAGTTTATTTTTTATTTTTAGATTAAATAAATTTATTTTTCAATTTTTTTAGATTATTGAAAAGAATAAATAAAATAGTAAAGTATAAATGTAATTGAATAGAGATGTCCAGTGAGACTTGACACCCTAACGAATTAGTTTTTTCATCTTTGGGAAGTGTGGAGGGGAGACGCTAGGTAGCAAAATTTTGAATGAAATACGATGACAATCCACATAGTATACGACTATGTACAATCGTTTACGGTGGTCGTATACACGTCGTGTTTCGGCGTATACGACACGACGTTATTCGGTCGTAAATCTGGCGTCAAGTAATATGGCGAAATACGGTCATATACGATCGTAATTTACATCGTATACGACCGTGCACGATCGGATACGCCGTCGTATACGATCGTTTACGACTGTCGTAATGCTCGTCCTGGGCAGCAGTGTGATTTCATTTCTGTTAGATACATATATATCATCAAATCATGACATCACCTAGTCATTTGAAAAATCATTATATCTCAATTTTGTATTTTTGAACTAAAAGGTATACGATCTGCTAGCGTTATTTATCGTGAAACAAATATCCTACTGAGCACTATCTATTACAATATCGACAACTTAAAACTCGAATTCACCTAAACATCGAGGCGAAAATGATCAACCACGTGTACTCAGTGAAAAAGAGAAAAAGCTGTTGGTCAATATATTCGATAAAACAATGAGATAACTTTCAATGAAATAAAAGAAAATTTAACGAGAACGTATTATTCATCAGTATTTACATCAGCAATATGTCGTCATTTTCATGAATATAGTTATAGAAATGTTCTACCAAAAAGTTCTCATATGTTAAAACCCGAAGAAAAAAACCGATGTGTACAATGAGATAAACAGCATAAAAATGATGATTATACATGTACAACTTTTTCGTAACATTGTTCGTCGTTGGTCAAAACATCAAAATGATGAATTTAAACATATACGTAAAATTTGGTTGTTCGTAAGACACAATTGAAAAAAAGAAAATCCAAAAACCTTGATGAACTTGAACTCTTTTCAGCTGAAGAATTCATACATGTAAAACTCGAATAGTCGTTACGACTATTCAACTATTCGACTATTTAAAAGTTGAAAAGTCGAATTTGCGACTATTCAACTATTCAATAGTTGGGGTGTGGGTGTCGGTGTGGGGTGTAGGTGTGGGTGGATATGGGTGTGGAGTGTGGCTGTGGCTGGATGTGGGTGGGTGTGGGTTTGTGCGTGAGTGTGTGTGTTGGTGAAAAGGACACCCACACCCTACACCCACCCACACACACACCTGCTGTTTATGGACTCTTCGGTTATCATTCTGATTTCAGTCTCGTTTGAATGAGTTGACTAGCAGTGTATAACAACTATTGAGTTCATATGTATACTCAGCAATAACACTAATAATTAGTTACTCAGAAACTACAGATTTCTACCGACAGTTTTTTCTTTTGCATTGACTTTCTCGTATCTGTTTCTAGATAGCAACAAATACATACCTGAATTACAAATAAAAATAAACTTTCACGATGTCTAACACTATTACAATCAACACTGCACAGGTATTAACATCAAAATTTTTTTATTACTTGGAATAAGTGTTCCGTAGACGTCGATAAGACTTCAATTGATGAATAAGAATTTATTTTGCGATTGATAATATAAAAATCTCTCTATAATGAACAGCGTCCTGGCGTCCTCAATGTCAACGGAAAACCAGGACGCTTCAGGTAATGACAGAAATATTTGAATAATTAGTAAGAAAATTCTCTTCCTAGTAAACAACGTCCTAGCGTCACTAATATAGACGGACGCTAGGATGCTTTATATAATGTAAGAAATATTTGAATAGTTAGTAAGAAAAATCTCTTCTTAGTAAACAGCGTCCTAGCGTCCTTAACATAGACGGACGCTAGGACTCTCATGTAATGAAAGAAATATTTGATTAGTTAATGAGAAAAATCTCTTTCGATCAAATAGTGTATGAACGTCTTCCCCTCATTATTCACATGCGTGGACGATAATTTCATTGTTTATAAACACGTTCATCATTCTCTTTTAACCATTCATTGATTACTGCAAATTCAAATATAATAATAGCTCTTATTGTTTTAATCGGGTGGTAGATTTCGTTTGTGGTTACTGCACCTACAAATTTTGTTATGATCATTTAATTGAACATGAACATGCAAACGTACGAGAAGTAGCAAGGTAAGAAAAACATTTAAATCAGTTTAATGTGACTAGTACTATGTTCATTCA